GTTTATAGAAATTTATCAAGAATATCGTTATAATAACCAAAAGTTTAATCGAAATGTCTATAATAATATATAACAAATGAATCTATACTAAGTATAATATAGTATACTAAATATAATAATGATGCTTAAGGGAATTCTATACTTAATGCATAATATTAATATGTAAATTAATAAAGATAAAAAAAAAAATTACAAGACTAAAGTGAGCACAACTAAATATGATAAGGTTCTTGCGATTCTTCATTTATGACAGTGCTACTTGGGATAATAAGACCGTTTGCTAATTGAATCAAATATTATAATTAATTTCTTTATAGCTAATATAATTTTTAATCAATATTGACAGGTTGATAGATTGAAAAATCTTACCACTCTCAGCTCCCTCTGGTGCTTCGATCCAGTCATTAGGAACAACACCTTAAGTTTATATAAAAATGATTACGATACCGATGAATTTGAACAAAAAATACACGTTAATATTAGTTGTACCCCAATTTACATTTATTCTCACTTTTTTTATGTTTGAATAAAAAGATGACTATCAGTAATTCATTACCAAATACTATTCCAGATAGCTGATGTTATTTGATCATATTCATTAAGTAAAAGTTATATCGAAAAGTTGAAAGTGAGAATGAATGTAAATTGAAGCGCAAAAATATATAAAACCTACATGGAAAGAGGGTTCCTAATTTCGCGGCACGATTTATCCAATCTATGGAAAATAACAATAAAAGTAACAAAAGATTAAATAATGTATTATAGTACAATATAGGAATGATAGTTGTATATTCTTACTTGGTGCTGGTTTTCCAACTAGTATATTACATAATTCACTAGTAAAATGATTACAATTCCTAATACAAATATTTATTAATAAATTTATTACATCAAATACTAGCTATTACGTAATTTTACCTTGTCAATAAATTATAACTATTCCCACTCCACTCTTTTGCTAATCCATCGATAACGCTCTTTACATCTTCTTTACTCAAAGACGTATGCCCCATAAGAACTGAATCTCTGATTTAATAATTCAATAATTTAATAGTTATAATTTAATAATTAATAGTTTAATTTAATAATCTAATAATTTAATAATCTAATATAAAATATCGAATTTTTTCAAAATTCAATAATTACTTGAATGTCACATTAGGAGGTCCAATCCTGGGTTTCATAACAAATACACCAGTAGTATCAAAATCATGTCCACCAAAATTATATTCTGATTTGAAAGGTTTATAAATTCATGCTTGACCATATAGTCGTATTAGAAAAACGTGATCTCCAATAATTTTTTTTTTTTTTTTACCTTTGTCATATACTTCAACTCCAGAATGAAATACTCCTATAAATGTCAAATAAAAAACTTTATCGAATTTTGTTATATTCAAGACAGAATCAATGAAATAACACGAACCGATCCCGAACATGTAACCAATATCTGCAATCTTTCCTTTTGGTAGCTTTTTGTCAAATATAATGTCAGTAATCATTGACGATCAAACTCGATTACTAAAGGCCTATTTACCATGTCATATACATTTATGTATACCTTTTATACATAAGTCAAAGTAACAAAAAAGATAATGAGTTATCTTTTTTTTTTTAATATATCGTAAAAAGCTCTCGAATGAATATAATGAATATATTACCGGAGTTTTTTTATCCCTGCACAATGGAACCTCATATTGGTTTGAGGACGAGTTATCTGGTTCAACTTGAGTATTCATTCTATTATTATTATTATTATAAATACTATGAATATAACGAACCATTTTTTTTCTAATTTAATAGTTTGTTAATTACTTAACATTTAAGAAAATTTTCTGCATAGAAGAATTACGAAGATCCTTAATTTTAATGATCGAACGGTCACCGGAAAAGGTTAGTAAGACTTTATTTTGTTTCACAACATATTGTGTTTGTGTGCACATTCCCCAATTATTGGTGGTATCTATTTTAAAAGCAACAATTATAATGCGTTTCTCCTTCAATTTCTTGCTTTCAAAATAATTAAAAAAAAAAACTATAATTGGCTTATACATATACGTATTTCTTTTTTTCTCCATAATTATAAGCGTCGCGGCTGATGTCCTTATTTTGATATGACATTTAAAAAATTTTTTTTTGGGTGCATTTTTTTGTTTTCTTTTTAGGGTTAGGTCAGGATTAAATGGTTAGAAGCGTTAATTAAAGATCAAGTATATAATAGGTTTAGTAGACCAAATCCGTGACGATGGAAATTACGTCACACCCTTTGTAATAAGCCGAATCTGCTTTACTTTCTCATGTTGTAGAGATTTTAAAACAAGAATCTTGGCTTGATTTAACTCATTATAAATTGCATTGCATCTTTGTTGGTTGTAATTAAGCTTTCTTAAAATCTCTTCATAGAATGTATGTGCGTTTACTGTGACTATATCAGATATTAATCATCATATAGATTACGAACTATGTACTGTATCCTTATCCGAATATAACAAGAAAAAAATAAAATTATAGTTAGTATGAGTATTGTTGCAGATTTAAAAAATCGACAATATTCTCGTGACTAACGATGTGAATCAAACTATGTCACACAGTTTTGGCAATAATAATAACACAGTAAATACCTAATGTGATACTAATCATCACAGTTTGGAACATACCAAATAGTTTGGGTTACATCACTACTCGTAACTAGGGATGGGCCACTGCGCAGAGTGTGCAGAATTTTTGAGAAAATCCTGGTCTGCTTATATAATGCTGCAGGTTGCATGCCGCGCAGTGGATTCAAAAAATGCTCGATCTGCCCATCCCTACTCGTAACTCAGCAAACGGAGTCTATGTACGTACATATGTACCAATCGGTCGTCTCGATTAAACGTGTAAAATGGTATCCGCTACCCCTGATCGACAAATCGGGGTGCAGGACCAGGTGTAACACGAAAATCCTCTTACGTATAGTTCGGTATAACTAATTTACTTTATGCTTAAGTACAATATAAGTTTTATTGCAGTTACGAAAGAGGCAAATGGATAAATGTATATGAAGATACAAGTAGTCGTATAAACAAGTTTATGATTTATTTAATAAAGATTCGAGTTATTCGTGTATGAAGACACGATTACTTCTTTGAAAGAGACATGGCTATTTATACATTTTAGACATTATGATCTCTTTCTATCATATCTACAAGTTATACTATATCTAGTATTTCTACTATGTCTAATAGAACTAATATATATACTAGAACTAACATTCTTTGCATTTGTATTTTAAAAAAAAGATTTTATAGCTTAGAAATTTTATACATCATGTGATTTTATTTCACTATCAAAAATTTCGCTAGAAAAACATTTCACTATTAGATTAGGGTTGGGAATTGCTAGTAGATTAGGGTTAGAGGGCTGTAGTTATACAAAAATTTCGCAAGAAAAACTTTTTATTAGTGCGCAGAAGGTAAAAATTTTGAATTATACTAGTATGGAATAGCAAGTTCGAACAATTTTCATGAATTTTTTAAAAAAAAACCCCAAATTTTTAATATTTCTCAGAATCTAGCGGTGCCAATCATGGGATCAGGTGTAACACATTCGTGTAAATCGAAATTTCGTCTATTATATTAGGCCATACAAACTTAATAAATCGGTTCTCGAAACCCGGCCGGTTCAAATTTTACATAACTTTAAAAAACAATTTTAAGTATATTTACTATCCGGGTGGATTTTTTTAAAAAATTTATAAAAAATTTTATATGTTTTTCATATATAAAATTTTTTGAAAATAAAATTAAAAGCCGGGTTGTCGGGTCACTTTCAAAAATTTTATGCTATGAGAATCTATTTATTAAGTTTGTATGGCCTTATAATTAAAAAATTTCTTGCAAAATTTTAGTTTTATCCTAATTCAATTCTAACTTAACTCTAATGATAATTAACCTTAATGTTTGTTCTGATTTATTATACAATCTGGTTGTTTAATTAAAATCCAGTGATTAAAGTTTGGACTTTTGGGTATAAATTTGATTTTTTTAGATTTCTATACAATTACCTATATAGTTACAAACTTTATATAATCATATAATTTTATATAAATATTATTTTAATATTAAAAAAATTTCTATATAAATATAGTATAATCACTTTCATATTTTTGTTTTTTTACTAATTTATTAATAAAAATATCTTTAAACTTACAAATTATAAAAAAAAATTCTTTCTACAAATCATTTATACAAACAAAACCTAAAAAATAATAAAACAAAAATAATAAGACAAAAATAATTACAACTTCTTAAACTACTAAGAAAACTTACTTTGGTGCTTTAAGCAAACTTGTTTTTTTTTGAATATTAATAGTAAGATCATGTCTTTATCTTTATTGAAATTAATTTAATTCTCTTATAATGAAAAGAATACATTTGAACTTTATATCTTAAAATAATAAGTAAAGAAATTTGGATTAGTTTATCTGTAGTATAAATCAACTAGAATAATCATGGCTTATCTAGATTTGAGAATTAATAATTATATATATTAAATTTGTTTGATATTTAATTCATAAAGGATATCAAAGGTTAATTTGTTGCTAGTTAGAATAAGAGATAAAGATTACAAAAGTAAAGAAAATAAAAAGGTAATACAAGAGATAAAAAGGATAAGATATTATTAAAGAGTA